AATGGATGGCGGAACACAGTATTCCTAAATGCCGGCTATATTGTAAAGACACCAGGTCTCGTTTTCACAGTACTTCGAGGAGTTAAAAAGGAAATGAGGATATCCTCAAGATATCCTCTTTATTGATTAGCAATTACATAATATTGAATTTTCTTTGCATTTATTTTTCAGAGATCAAAAAATGTCAACCCGACTTCTTGCTCTACTTCCGTCCTTCATCGACATGGCTACGGTCTGGGGCCTGCCACTACTCTGTACTCAGTACCCAGAGCTTGAGTCTTTGGATGATATCCGACTTCTTTGGCTGTATCTATAGCTAGTCGATCCCGACAAACTATTTTCTTCAAGATCGCTTCCGGTGGCCCGTACTATTGCAAAGCTTCGAAAGAACGGCCACTGGACAGGCCACTACTCATAAAGTCATCATGTGTATGCAGTTACCATAGGAATATCTGACTCTGAGGCCATTTAAACCATTTTCTTTGTCTGATGGCCTACGTTCATTGTGTTCCTATCATCAAAGGGGATCTAGTACGATGTCCCATGGAGGCTGGCCATACATCTTTTGTTGCAGTGGTTACCGTTCATTCATGGCCAAAAGACCTTGGTGAGCCTTTGTATTGTCTCGCTTGGTCCATCCTAACTTGCCATAAAATGACAGGTGGATTCAAGGTTCGATCCTTCCTACCATATCAACAACCTACGAACATGAAGCTCTTCTTTTTTCCAACCTGGTTTCCGCTTCTTTCATCACCGGATGCGGATGAGTCGGATACTGATGAGGCCGCCATCTCATTAACTCCTGATTCAAAAGTGTCGTCTTCATCTCCGATTTCCATGTCGCATGAACCTCGAGTACCGAGAAACCAGAGCTCGCGAAATTATGATAGGCCACCGGAACTGGAAAACTTGGACGTGGTGGCAGCATTGACGTCGATTTCGAAACAGTTAAAAGAGCTCAAAGATCAAAGGTGAGATGATTGATTTGATGACAGTGTAGTTCCTATCGATTAGTGGTTAAATCATCTCGTTGTGGTATCAAAAAGCTCCGAGAAGCCGCAGGCTCGACTCCTGCTGGGAACAAATTCTATTTTTTCTTCTTTTCCAAATACTTTCATCAGTTTCTGATTATCTTACGACAGCAATGATGCCCACGGACTCTACCTAAACTCACTCGCCGCGAAGGACAAGGAGATAGGGTCCAAGAACAAAGACATCTCCCGCCTCGAATATGAACTCTACGAGCAAACGCGAGAGGTTAAGCGATTGAACGATGACTGGGAAACAGCGGTTTCGGAACGCCTAAAGACGATGGTTCAACTCACCGCTTGCAGAAAGGGAAGATCAGACGATAACCACCGGGCAAGCCAAGAAATCACGCGACTGAATGACCTCCTCGTGTCGGAGCGTCAGACTCTTGGAAGGAGGATCCAAGAACTTGAGCTAAGGAGCCAGGTGCAGGTGCAGACTATTAATCGGCTCGAAGCCAGGTACGTCTCTTGTTACTGGGATCGAGTCTTCGGAATGAGCTTATAAGTGCAATCCAAGGAATTTAAATCCTGCCTTGATCGACTTCTTAGAGTCTCAACGGCCTCCACCTCCCCCATATCTCGCTGAAGTACCTGGGGTACGCCTCCCTTTCCCTTCCTGACAGACTCAATCTTGACTCATGATCATGTATAGTCATCCAGACCATCTAACATTCTTCGAACAACAGGAGCCACCGCTAATCCTATTTCACAACTTCGCGAATGACTTCGGAAGTCCAGAGTTAAATGAGTGACGATGTACATACACGTTGCATACACGTGCATCTAGGTCCTATAGTAGTCTCACCGTTTACGGACTAAATCGATACCAATTTTCGACATTTCACAATTGTCGATATGAGGTATGGCTTGTGAGAGAGTTGACGGCATTGACCTAGCTGAAAAGATACGCATGATCGGTCATCGTGAACGCCAACTGGCAGCTAGCTGGTTACCATGACTCCGGACAAAGATTTAATGAAGAAGCATAGCAACAACGTAAAGGTATTGTACTTCAACTGGTATCCATTGTGTTCTTATTGTCAAAGACCAACCGAATCATCTGTATCTAGGCTCTCCATTTCGTGAACTCGAACTCTGTTCCAACCCTGTAGTGACGTCTGCAACGTTGTATCCGAACACTTTGGACTGGAGATGTTTTTTTTTGTTCGTTCCAAGCATATAAAATGATCAGCATTCCAGGACAAAGGGAATATTAATGAGCCGTGGCTTCATCCACCACAATCTCCACGCTCGGTGGACATGAAGCTCTCTGTTCCGACTCTTTTTCCATCCCTTTCGCCTGTTCCATCGCTGGTCCCTGAAGAGTCGGACACAGAGAGTGATGATGAACCAGCGTTGATTACTCCTCCTCGCGGCCAGAGAGTTCCCATTTGGCCTCACAATGCGGCTTCTCCGATTCCATTGTCATCTCTATTCTTTTCCAAGGATTCACAAGAAATGTACTTGAGGCATTCTATAAAACAGGATGATCCTGGGGAGGAGCCTTCGGTGGAACTACGGAACGCGGAGGTGGTGGAGGCGTTGAACTCCGTCTCAGAGGAATTGAGGGATCTCAAGAGGAAGAGGTTAGTCGATTCCATTTCTCTGCAAGCATGTGCTTAGCAAAGTCAAAAAGTGACGACACGAATAGTCAATCGACCTACTTCATCAATATCATCAGTGGTCTCCATCGGACTATCAAAGCCCAAGAACGCGACGTATCCAACAAATCTGCACACGTCTTCGCCAACAACTCTGAATTACAATCACTACGCGCCCAACTCGCTGCGAAGAACGAGGAAATATCATCCAAAGATAAACTCATCTCAAGCTTACGATCTGCACTCGATAAACGAACGGAGGAGCTTAACACGGTGGAAGATGAATTGGATATGGAATTGGCTGGGCACAAACAGACTATGAGTGAGCTCACGGCTTGTCAGAAAGGCAGAGACGAGGATAAGGAGCAATCAACACGGGAAATTGAGAGACTTAACGATATGCTCAAGCAGCATCGGAGTTGGCTTCAGACCAGGTATGTCCAATCACTCAATCTGGTTTTCGGTTGACCTTATGAAAATAGCCTCGGGAGCCTCAATCAACTATTATCAGGACTCAGTCAGTCTCTTCCAAGCCCTCCTTCGTACGTATCTTCAGTATCTTCGGCATCACAGGGAAGTCTTCTATTTTTTGACTACTTTCCAAGCTCCAGCCCTAACAATGTCACATGCATAGGCAACCAGATCCAGCGTCGCTCTAAGTCCAGGAAGTTTATTCACAGCTACGGAAACGGTTAAACCGTCAGCCTCTCATGATCAGGGGCCATGGTCTTATGAATCTTTCTCCAGTCCGAGATCCGTCTCTCCGACTCCTGTCTCTCGAGTACGTCTCCTTCCCCGACGAACAGTCTCAGCTTCCACTCACCTACCTCATACAGGCATCATCCAGCACTACTATCGTCCAATCCCGAAACTTGGAAATCAAACTTCCTTCGGCTAGGAAATCTCCGGCTACAAACCATGCCTCTCAGGCATCCCAATTACAGACTCTAAAACGGCCTCTGAGGACGGGATCTTCAATCAAATGGACTGGTTACGGGTGCCCCCAGTTCACAGCTGTTCCGGAATGTACTGCCTCAGATGGAACTCATAATTTTAAGGGAAGTGGAACGAACCAGTATGCGACGAGGTATACATGTCGGATATGTGGGTTTGCGTGTTCGGAGTCGAAGAGGAGATGATAGATGACTGACAAATGATACCCTACCACGTTTGGGGTGCTCGTTGTGGAGCATGGACTTTCAATATCTTGGGACTAATGGTTTTAACGTCGTGGGATAGCCCGGGATCTTGTTAAATATCATCTTCGACAAAAAACCATGAATTGAAGGCCTGGCTGTTTAGTTTGATTGATCGAACTGAAGATATGTGGGAATTATCTTCTTGTCCTAGACTACAAAAACTGCATAAATCAGCGGATGCATTAAGAGGGAATCGAACCCCCGGCGGGTCGATATCAGGTAGAATGGCAACGACCCAGGTTACCACTACCCCATTAATGCCACAGTGACGAAAGTATAGGCATGCTTTACAACCGGTTGCTAGGCTTTCCTAGTCATCCGGCTTGGAGTCTTGGACAGGTTATAAGAGCTTTCAAAGTAAGGATTAGTGACGTTGAGAGTCTAGACATCTGTTGTCTTGCATTAAATATCTCGAGGAACTATGAGGATCTCATTGATCGAGGAAATCGTGCACAAATTCAATGGAATATTATGTGTGTCTGCGCGTAGGGAGAAAGCCCTGGACCATAACAAGGCTCATTGGCCATGTCTGTGGACGGTTATGTGGACATAACAACATAACGTGTACAGCCACATCCATTTTGAGAAAATTATTCCCACAACCTATGCATGTTAAGTTCTGGACGTTTTCTCGAGCCACCTTGGGGCATTTTGGAACACTGAATTGATATAGAATGATCCATTGGCACGCAGTTAAGACTATAATGAGAATGAAAAATTTTGCGGCAGTAGCATTTTGTCCCATGTCGATGACTCTTTACACAATCGATTCAATCAGCTGCTCGAAGCTCGAAAACTTTGTAACAAGATGGAAGCGGCTGAAAGCCGCAAAGAAAAAATTGGTGTATTTAGGTGGCCTGGGCCCTGTACCCGCTTTGTGGTTTTGAAGAGGTCCAAGTTATCTCTGAGGCTTCTCATCCTCATGGTCCGTGGGCGGTACACGTTCTGGCACCCAGAAATTAATTATAATCAAGAATTCTGCAACCATTGGTAAAAACATAAGTGCAGGTAAGCCGTATTTTTGATTCACGGATGTAACATGTGTATAAAAGATTATTTCTGGTGAGAGCGCGGCCGAAGGCCGCGAGAGAAAAAAATATAGTATTCACTGACAGTTAACTCCCGGAAGGATAGCCAGATGTCTGAGCAACAAGATTAGGAGACTATGTATGAGAAAAGGATAGGAAAAGTGACTCGAGGTGTGCAAATTGACGATGGATAATGTTCACGTCAGTCAAGACTCGAACCGATGACCTTACCATACTGAAAAAAGTTTGCTTCCACAACAAAACCACTGAGCCAAAACACCTTACTAGAGGTCCAGACATAACCACACTGAGACCATGCTGCAAACTTGAAAAACTTGAAATCGTCCACGGACATAACCACTTAGCCCATAACAATGACAGTATATAGATCAACTACTATAGAAATTCTTTGCATGCTATCTGCATCGCGCCAAGTTTATGTAGTTTTGAG